ATTTTGAAAATTATAGTAATAAATTGTGGAGCATGCACGCACAGACACGTTCACACTCAAAAGTTGTTGGGAGAGAGAGAGAAAAGAAAAACAATAAAACCACAAATACAACTACCACTTCTCATTGATGTTGATGAATATCGGCCAATTAAAAGCGCCTACAAAAACAACCATACAAATGTATCATTTTATGGATATATATGTATAGATTTATTTATGATTGTTGTTTGTCGGTTGTTGCATTATATGTTTAACACAAAATATTTTATTGCTAGTTAACTGTTGTTGTTCCCTCTTTTTTGATTTTAGTTTTGTGTTTTCTAGCGGTTGGTTTTTGCTGGCCTACCAACTTTCTGACATTTTGTTATAAATCACCAACAATCCATTAAACATCAAAATGGGCAATGAAATGAAAAGAGAAAAAAAAAACAACGGCGAAATTTTGAAAAATGCGAGTTGAAGTGCTGCCCTTGCACACACACACACTCACATACATATGCAATCCTTTAACAGTCATGCCTAAATGCAAAGGGGAGTGTTTTTTGGTTACTATTTTATTGTTTATTCTGCATGGTGAGAGATACTTATGAATGAATTACTACTTGGGGGCCGTCTGTTTTGAATCGAGGCCTATTATTTTGGTAGGGCGAATAGTTTAAAATTAAATTCCGCAAAAGTTGTATTGAAAATTTTTAAAAGAGTTATAAATATTTAAGATTTCTTATACCCTACACCACCAGTGGCCAGGGTACCATGCATTTGCGCATTTATTTGTAACATAGAGAAGGAAGCGAGATAGACCCATAGTTCCTTTTGATGATCTACATAGAATCACATTCCCAGTCAATTTCTACATTTCCGTTCGTCCATCTGTACATGTCTTTTAGTAAATAAAGTATAGGTCGCATTTATTTCGAGTTGAAATTGTACGAAAATCATTTGTTTGGCCCAAGGACTAACCCTATTGAAATTCAAGTGATGTAGGGTATAAACCAGTAAACTTTTTAGCCTTGATATACTGGTTTATACCCCACATCATTATGTGTCTGAGGTATTATTTCGCCGAGCTGAGCCGATCTACCTATGTGTGTCCGACCACACGAATTTTTGCATGGAATTAGGGTTGGTGCCAGAATATAAGACAGACTGAAAGCTACCCCTTTTAAAGGTCATCGGATAATTTTAAGAGGGTGAAATGGAACATAACTTTTGTGTACAAAATAAATTCCAATATTTCCATTGCACCGCGAATATTGTTAACCCCGTATAAATTACAAATACATGAAAAGGTCTCATGCCGATAGCCAAGATATCGGGTTTATAGTAAAATATATGAAATATGAAATTCATATTTAAATGTCTGTATATAATCGGAGTCAATATGACTTACATGCGAAGATTTTTATCGTTTTTTATTCGTCTCGCCTTGAAATCCATGTTTCGTAGCTATAGAAGAATGCATCAGAAAGATGTTACAATTGGTATTTTAAAGACGGAAAGTCGCGTTTGAACAACCAATTTGGCAATAATTCCGTAAAAATAGGAATTCGCCCAAACTTTGACGATTTTTTCGTATAGTTTTCAAAATAGAACAAAGATGGCATTTCTTGCTTGTTTTCGTTGTTTTTTCCTCAGGCGCTCGTAATATTTAATATCATCATAATAACCATCTCTACTAATTATAGGCCTAGCCTTGACGTCCAATTTGCAAAAAATTATTTTTTATATCCTCAGTCATATTGCTAGATAGGGTATATATCATTTGATACGGCCAAAACGTGTCTCATTGAAATAACGGTTTTAGACCCTAGGTCTCTTTAGACCAAATCCATTTCAGGACATTTGGAGTCGATCTAGCTATGTCCGTCTGTCTGCTGGTGCGCACGATAACTCTCGAAGGGAGTACCCGATTTCATCCAAACTTTGTACATCGTTATACTATTGTCAAACTTAGATCGAGTTCGGAGATATCGGTCACAAAAATGTCAACATTTAAAAAAAATTATAATTATAATAATAATAATAATTTACTGAAAAGAAAAAGAACTGAAAATCCGATTTTGCGTCAGTGCTATATCAGGTGTGAAAATGGACAATTTCGGTCCACTCATTCAAGTATCTCCACCACAAAGAGTAAAAATTTTGAATAATTACAACTTCTATAAAATGTGATGTAAGAGTCCGATTGTCTTCAAAATTTCACACATCTCAATATTTTTATTAACTCAAGGTTTGTTGTTAAGATGGAATATATCGGTCCACAGCTTTTGATGCCTCCCTGACAAAATGGGGACATTTTCAAAAAATATACTTTTTGCAAAAAGGAATATTTGCATCAGTGCCATGTCAGATCAAAATGAACAATATCGGTCCACTTCTTCTGGTACCTCCCACACAGGACCGATACGAAATGGACAATATTGGCCCATTTCTTCGGAACATACTCCACAGAGGGTCGATAATTTAAATAAAAATAACAGAAGTCAAAATATATTTAAATAATCGAACATTGGCTGAGGGTATACATCTGTCGGCTAAACCGACTGATACTTTGTTTTTATTAATTTGTTTTTATGATTTTTTTATTTGAAAAATATTTCCTAGATATTTGAAAACCAATAGAAGCTTTTTTTGTTTTTGATTTTTCTCTCCCCAAATTTTCTGGATTCATTCAAACTTTCTGAGTAAGAATTTAGCTTTTTCTTTCTCATTATCAGTTAGCTTCTAAAAAGGTTAACCGGAGTTTTAATTGGCTCCTCAGCTTTTGAGATATATGATTTTAAAGGAAATTATACTTTGTGTTATTCCAAAATAGATAGGCTTAATCCCAGAGTTGATTATTTTTTATAAAAACAATTGTTACTTATTACTGAGGCAAATTAAATAGTGGCAAGTCAGGGATGATTGATTATAGTTTCCAAAAAAAAAAAAAAAAAACAAAACCCTTTCTTTGAAAAAAAATGGAAACATTTTTTATGATTTTACATGAATTTTAAATAGTAGATTTATTATTAATTTTTTATGAATTCCAGTCTTATATATTTTGTATTATATTTTTTTTTTTAAGAAAAAAGAATTTAATTGGAATTTGAATAATTTTTATACCCTACACCACAAGGTGGTCAAGGTATTATGTCTTTATGCATATGTTTGTAACAGGCAAAAGGAAACGAGATAGACCCATAGTTTCTTTTGATGATCTGCATAGAATCACATTCCGAGTCGATTTATGCATGTACGTCCGTCTGTCCATGTATTTTTGTAAACAAAGTACAGTTCGCATTTATTGCCCTATCCAGATGAAACTTTGCACAAATCATTTGTTTGACCCAAGGACGAATCCTATTGAAATTGGATATAATCGGTCAAAATTTAGATATAGCTCCCATATATATCTTCGTCCGATTTTCCTTTTATTGTGCATCAAACGTGTAATATCAGCCCGAATAATATGGAAATTTGCACATACAACCAAATTAGGCCTGAACATAGGAATGCCAAATTTGATCGAAATCGGTTCAGATATAGCTATAGCTCCCATATATATTGTTCATCCGATTTGTTATGTTTGTCCTCCGCAGCCGTAATATGCACTCTGTAAAAACAATATTTGGGAAAATATATCAAATACAGATCTGAAATACATTTGCTAAATTTTATCGAGATCGGTTCAGATTTGGATATAGCTCCCATATATGACTTCGTCCGATTTACCTTATATTGTGCACCAAACGTCTAATATTTGTCCAAATGGGATGGAATTTGGCACTTAGGACCGAATTCAGTCTAGAAGCTAGTATGTCAAATTTGGTAAAGGTCGGTTCAGATATAGCTGTAGCTTCCATATATATTGTTCATCCGATTCGTTGTTTTTGTTACCCACAGCCGTAATATGCACTCCGTAACAACGATATTCAGGGAAATATATGAAATACAGCTCAGAAATATCTTTGCCAAATTTTATCGAGATCGGTTCCGATTTGTCAGTAGAACAAGTCCGAGTTTAAAACATATAAATGCTTCGGCATATTTAGTCTTTTGAACTTTAAATTATAATTATAATCATAGCGTGTATGATTGAATTCTCCCATAAAAACTTTTAATTGTTATGTGGAGCTCTACTAAATTAGCAAAGTGGTGTAGGGTATCATAAAGTCGGCCCCCGCCCGACTTTAAGACTTCTTTACTTTTTTTAATTAATTGATGTGGAAATGTAGCATTTCTATTTTTTCTCAGTAATTTTTATTGTCCACCAAAATTCTCTTTAGGTCTTATATAAATTTTAATTTTATGCGAATATATTTTCTTTAATAATATTTCTATTGTCTTAACTTGCACATTTATTGCAGTTTATCTCCAAATGCTCTTAACAACTTTCACATTTCCTCCATTTCAAATTCAAATTACTTCTTTCACAGGCTAAATGGCAATTACCATCAACCATAATGAAAATCCATGTTTTCCGTTTCTTTCCATTCTCATTAAAATTTCATTCAAATTTTGTATTTTCTTCCAGTTCACGAAATTAAACTTTATTTGTAGAATTGTTCTGTTATTTTTGTGTTAATGGCAAATTGTGTCCAACTTTTTGCTTTTTGCACAACATCATTTTGCCTTAAGTAAAAAGTTAATTGGAAAAGCACTTTTCTTGGCCACAGGATGTTTGAAAATGTTGTTCATTTTTTTTTTTTTTTTTGGAATTTTTCCGACATGAATTATGATAATGTTTCAGCAGAAGAAGGTTAATTTTCGGTTTCTTAAGGTTTGTTCAATTTCAATTTTTAATGAATTTGATTTGCTGCTGGTGATGAACTTCTTTCTCTTTCTTTTTTGAACACTTCCTTCCTTCGCACTTTTAAATTGAAAATTTTGTTCCTTTTTTTCAAATATTAAATTTTATTTTTTTTTAATTATTTTTAATTTTTCGATTTTGAATTTTAAATTATTTTTTTCTTTTTTATTTTTTATAATTTTTGTCTTTTAAGAAAAAACCCACTTACCGCTTGTCTTTTTTTCGTTTAAATTCAGAAAAAATGTAACGGAAAAGAACACAACCAAATTTTGTTGTTTAGTTGTATTTTGGTATTTCAGAGGGGTTTCTTTGGAGTTGCCTCAACGACGAGCCGTTTGTTGGGTTTGAGCACACGTTTGAAATAACAGTGATGTTCTTTGTCCGCCAGCACAGGCCTTTTATACGTTTGGTATCATTTGCCTTCAGTCAGATGGTTTTTGGTAACAAAACGAAACGAACGAAATTGTCTCTGTCCCTCTGCCCGGTTATGCTGCTGCGCATGAAACACTTTGAGACCTGGAGCAGTTGGCAGCGATGCAGCAACCTTTCGTTTTTGGATAAACGCCGTAAATGAAAGTGTTCTTATCATCTGTTTAGCACATATTGAGGAACACTAACAGACCTGGCATCTGCTGCCACTGTTAAGCCAGGCGTCTGCGTTGACGCCAACATCTGTATCGCAGCAACACTGGCAGTGGCAGAGAGAGCAGCTGATGTATCATAACTCGTGTTGCTGCCGAGTGAGGATGTGTGCCCCATCGTTGTTTTTATCAAACATAACTACGACAACAAGAGTCAATACAACATGGCTCCCCCCACCCACATCCACACTCACAGTTCTATTCCATTCGGCATTTGCTCTGTTCAGTTTATCTCTCTTTCTGTTATCTCTGGCAATAATGCAGAAATATTCTACTGTCTGGCTGGACTTAACAGACATCTCATCTCCAGTAAACATTTACAAATGTTATGTTGTTCTTGTTGTTGCCGCTGAGTAGTGTTCAGTCCAATGTTATTATGTTCACGTGTGCCAATGCATTTTGTGGGTGTGTTTCTATGTGTGTGTTTGCGATTTGTATTGATGTGCATATTGTGAGGGTGGCATTGTATTGTTGAATTCATGCTCTCTACGTTTATTGTCATTTCATTCCCTTTATATCAGGTTTTCCTTTCACATGTTTGTTGTTTTTCCATGTTTTTTCTTTTGTAACACATGTCGGCCAGTTTTGCCAATTGAACAGTGTCAGGAAATCGATTTTCCTGGTCAAACCCAAATTTTTTGTCATCACCGATTTCAAGACAAAGAATCCCAGATTTTTCTCTGGAAGACATTGCAAGAAATGTTTTAAAAACAAAGAGACCGATAAAAATATTTTTCAAAAATTGGTAAATGTTTCTAAATGCGGTTGTAAGATTTAGAAGATTTTCCAAAAGAATCTTAGTTTTATTTAATTCTTTGGTTCCTCTTCTATTTAGCTTACGATCACGTCACTTGGGTAAAAAAATGTTTTTTGTCATAGAAGTTATTTTTAAAATAACTTCTGGGGAGGATATCCCAGACAGAAAACAAGGGAGCTGATGAGGATTGGTGGCTCTTTCCGAAAGTATTCCCTGCCTTACCCCTGGTAAACATTACCATCGTTCTCCACTAATAAACAAACGTTGTTTTTATAAAAACAACAATAAATGTTGGAGTTTTTGATCTATTTGGTCGGAAAAATCAGGTTTTTACCCAACATCCACGAAAAATTCGGTCAGGATTTTTTATAGCCAATTTCACCTATTAATATTATCCGATGACCATTCAAATTACTAGACTTCTGCTCTGTCTTAAACTCTTTCCCCTTGTGAAATTCCGTCGATATTTTTGGTCCATTTCAACCTCTAAATGTTTTGCGTTCATTACCTAGAACAATATGCCTCTACTTTGACTCTATCTCTTACTCCATAAAGATCTGGCCATAATTGCGACCTGTATCGTGATTAAAAATTAACATGTACATACCCCTCAGCTTGGCGATATAAAAAGGTTCATATATGACATCATGGACCTTCATATATAACATTATGGGCCAATATTTCGAGGACTTACGATTTTTGGTCCAATCAAACTTATAATACCCCAACATATGGTGTTGTAGGGTATAGAAAAATATATATATATTTTTTTCGGGCTTCGAAATGTGTGGCAAATACTGTGTTCTTTGGACCAATCCGTTTCAGAACATTTGGAGTCGATCTGGCGATATCCGTCCGTCTGTCTGTCTGTCTGGCTGGCTGGTGCGCACGATAACTCTCGAAGGGAGTATCCGATTTGGTCCAAACTTGGTACATCGTGATATTTTTGTCAAACTTAGATTGAGTTCGGAGGTGGGCAATATCGGTCCACTCCTTCTGATACCTCCCCCACGAAAGGTCAAATTTTTAAAAAATGTATATTTTTTTCACAGATAGAGAAGGGATATTCCGATTTTGCTCCAATTTTGCAAATCTTAATATTTGCGTCAGTGCTACGTCATTTGGGAAAATGCACAATATTGGTCCACTCCATCAAGTAACTCCCCACAAACGGTCAAAATTTTGAATAAGTATAACTCTTTTAAAATGTTATATAAAAGTCAGTTTGTCTTCAAACTACACACATCACAATATTTTTATTAACCTAAAATCTGGAATGTATCGGTCCACTCCTTTGCGTACCTCCTCCAAAAGGGTCAACATTTTGGATATCCATGGAGCTTCTAAGACAGGAAATTAACATCCGATTCCATTCAGACTTTGTACATCTCAATATTTGCATCAACACAAGATCTGTTATAAAGATGGTAGAGATCGGACCATTTCTTCTGCTACCTCCCCACAAAGGGTCAAAGTTTGGAATAACCAAAATGATTATCAAATCCGAAATAACCATCCGGTTCTCCTCATATTTCCCACATCCCATTATTTCTACTAACACAAAATCTGCTGTGAAGATGGAATATATCGGTCCACTCCATGCGGTACCAAATAGGGTCAAAATTTTGAATATTAATGAAGCTCATTAAACACGAAATTAATATCCGATTCCATTCAGACTTTGCAAATCTCAATATATGTATACGCACAAGATTTGTTATTAATATGGTAGAGATCGGATTATTCTGGTTCCTCCCACACAAAGTGTTAAAATTTTGAATAACCAAAACAATTATAAAGTCCGAAATAAGCGTCCACCTCTCTTCAAATTACATACATCACAACATTTTTATATATGTCATAACTTGCCAAACATGTCGGGGATTCCTTAAAAGTTGTTATATCTAAATATTTCTCCTAAATTGGAATTTATGATTTCGGATAAAATTGGATATAAATGTTCGATTTCCTTCAAATTTTGCCCAAACCAATATTTTTATCTGTTTTAGATGAAGTATGAAAATTGAATACTTCGGTACGCTATATCTGTTACCTCACGCATATTTCCACATTTTCAAAAAAAAAAAAAAAAAAAAACGCACATATCTCATACAAAGTACAGTAAGTAGTCGATATAGTCCAAATCTGTCACGTTCTAATATTTATATCAATCTTAGGTCAGATACGAGTTGGTCAACGTTGGACAACTGCTTCAGAACCTCCCCAAAACCGACTGATATTATTTTACTTGTGTTTTCAAAATTTAATTTTGACCCGCAATAACACGATTCTAAACCACTGTGCCGCATTCGTTTCGTTCATACATTAATGTAGTTGTTATCTCTTTTGTAAAATGTTCTTCTCTTGCATTGATAAGTGTTTTTGGGCCTGTGCAATATCGACCCGACCGATGGACCTACCAAACGTGTCTCCGTGTCCGCACTACCCCTCTCCCACCCTCCCCCTCAACCAACTATAGTTGGTCAAATAACCACGTGCATTTTCGGCTTTGCGGCATTTAACACTGTTTTGGCTTTTTCTTGGTGCCACGTTGGATGTTGCTGTTGGTGCTGCTGTTGTTGTTCGAGTGTGTATGAATGTGCCATTTTCTTTCCCTTTTTTCGGTTTTATTACACTCAGGGAATTTCGATCCGCAAAACAAAACAACGACAAAGACAAACAATAATCCGTCTGTGCTTAACAGCAAAAAGACATCTTGAACAGTTTTATTGATTAAACCGATTAATAGTGTGAATATACGGTTGTGTGAGTGTTTGTGTGTGTGTGTTTTTAAATATTGAAAGACTGTTTAAAGACTTGAGGTAAATATTTTTCGAATGGACTTGGAATTGAAAAGGTTTGAAATGCATGATTCAATTTAAAGAATGTGAAAATGGATTTAAATTCTGAGATTTTGTTTTTCCATTCAAGAAAATAGGTCTTATTTTTTAAGAACCGTATATGTTTTCAAAAGAAGATAATTGCGGATTTTTTAAAAACATGAATTTTTCACAAAATTTAGAAAATGGTATATTCTTCTTAAATAAAAAACTTTCAAAAAATTATGTTTTTTGTTGTTGCAAAATGGTCAGGCTTTATACCTTTATTGATGTTTTTAAAAAAACAACGTTCGTTTATTAGTGGAGAAGGATGGTAATGTTTACCAGGGGGTAAGGCAGGGAATACCTAGGTTTCAGAAAGAGCCACTAATCCTCATCAGTTCCCTTGTTTTCTGTCTGGGATATTGTATCCCGAAGAAACAAGCCAACACTGTTCAATTGTGTTTTTTAAATAATTTTCAAACAATTATAAATATTTTCAAATAATAGTGGATATTTTAAAATTATTTTCAAACAATCGCATATTTTTTAAAAATCCAATAGATTTTCAACTTCCTGGCCAAGATTCACGGAATTTTGTTAAATATTTTAAAACATATCTGATCAAACATCTTGGATTTTATAAACAAAATTCCAAAAAAAAGAGACTATAAATTTGAAAAAATATTTTAAAATTATTTTCAAATAGGATTTTAAAAAAAAAATCGTGTATTGTTAGAATTATTAACCAAACTTATTTTTTTTAAACATAATTTTATAAAATTCAAAACTTTTTTTAAAATATTTTCAAAAATTTTAAAAGTATTTTTTTGACATTTTGCAAAAATTCTGGTCTTTTTCAAATATTTAACAGGAACGCACAAAAATAATATATAAAAATACATAAAACACAGGGTGAGATGAAAAAACTGCAACCACCTTCAGACTACTGTCTTTTCTAAGTCACTCGTCCGACAGCTCATTCTAGTGACAGGTCATTATATTGTTTACAAACGTACAAAAGCATTTTGGTGAGCATTTTAAAGAAAAAGTTATTCGTGATGGAATTCAAGCGTGATAGTATTTTGGCTGGAAAACCACAAGTAGCTATCGTTAGAGCACTTCAGCATTTAAATGTGAATGATACTGTGATACTGGTAGCGTAG